TTTTTAACACAAAATATTATTAAAATGAATAAAATCATAATACAATACAAATTTGTTTAAGCTGATAACTAAAAATTTTAAACATAAACTGAAATCTTAAGTACGAAACTTAGACCAGCATTATTCCATTTAAATGCTTTTCCTTGTAATAAGCAATTTAAAAAAAAATTCAGAAAATGAATTTTGTACTTAATTTTAAGCATTTTTAGAACAATTTGCTCACATCCATTTACTTTTGCGGATATTTTTGCAGGAAAGCTATGATATCTAAACATTCAAAAATTATATATTTATGTTCAGGTTATCAGATTCCTATTAAAATTTAAACTTAAAAGTAGAAAATTTTTAAAAAAAATTTTATTTGGTTCTGATCAAACTAAAACTATATTTATACAATAAATAATAAAAAAAATAAACTTTCATAAATATTATTTTAAAAAAATAAATAATAATAATAATTTAAACTGTGGTTTAAAACAGGTGAAAAACCATATTGGTTTTAACCTGGAGATTAGTATTTAGCAGCCAACCCAGCTAAGTACTAATGTCAGAGATTCCAAAGTACACTGAATAGTAGACTGCCTTGCCTACTATGATGCCCAATTAAAAAAAAAAAAATAATAAATATTTTATTTACAAAGTTAACATTGAAATTTAGGTGCACAGAGGTGACCTACATTCACCGAGAACTTATAAATGATAAATACATTTTACCAATTTCCAATCGATATTAACCAACTAATTGTTTGCAGTCAAAAGAGGACCTTTCATCTAATTTTTTCCTGACAAAAAAATCACTTTTTCAAACATTATTCAATGAGAAAGTTGTGTATTTATGTAAACTTCTTCAATTGTGAAATTTTCAGTTATACTCATATTATAATTAAACTTCTTTGAAATTAACTAGTAATAACTAAAGTAGCCTAATGAAATTAAAAGAAAATTCAATTTAATGAATTTTGTATTTTTTTTATAAAATATTATTAACTAATAGTTTATACCACACCTCACCATACAATGGATTCAGATATATAATTCTCTTTTTATACATCTCTAAGAAATAAAAAATACAGTAATTTAAAAATTTTCATTTTTTTTTATATCATTGCAATTAAAGGTCATAGAATTTCCTTTATACCATGACACCTGATTAATAGTTTTTTAATATTTCTCCAGAGTAAAATAATAGAGATTGAGAACCAAGATTTTTGTGCAAACAATAAAATTTAACAATGAAAAGAAAAGAACTTTAAAAATGATAAGAGATTTTTTTTTATTGTTAGATTAATTGTTTTATAATAGTTTTACAAACAAAGCTTCCCTCATACCTGATATAATTGTACGTAAGTAACATATGCCAGTAAATAATAATAATAACATGCAGATATATAGTATGCTGAACAAAAAGCAAGGTGCATCTATTTATTTCCAAAATAAATATGTAATTCCTTAAAATATAATACCATTGACAAACCTATTTACTATGTTTCAAAATTACTTTCACCTGCCTGTAATGTACTGCCATATTTATATAAGTCTCAGAAGCAACTTTTAAAAATCTCAGTGAAAATAATCCAAGTTTTGGTCAAATTCTGATTTTTTTTCCAATGACTTTGAAATTATTAAACCCTGTTTATTTGTCAAATTTTTTTTCGTTTCAGTAGTTTTGGCGATAAATTATTCTCTACACTGAGTGGTCTGTAGTCGCCTGCTACAAGTAGCAAAACTACTGTTCTATTGGTGATCAAAATGGGCTATAAGTGGAATTGAGCAACACTCTCTTCCTATAGTAACACTTAACATGCTTTCACCATAGAGCATGGAGAGTCACAGGAGAAGGAAGTATGTCAGCTTCTATCTTGATTTTTAAATTGAATAAAAACTTTTAAGTTGCTAAACTATATGGAACTGAAAACTACATTGAACATAAATCTAAAAGAAAACGTAGTGGAAATTTTAAAAAAAATATTTTTGACAAGTAAATACGATAAATATTAAGATAGGGAGAAATATTACAGTACATTCCTATACAACTGAGAAGAGGAGGAGAGGGAAGGGCGGAGGGTCAAGACATGGAACCGGTCTTCTCCCCAGACGGCATATTTGACCGTTGTGATCGCGAATTTCAATCAATACTTTTTCCCTTAGTATGTAGCATAGTGAGCTGCTCTTTAAAAAAAAAAAAAGTAGTGTAACGAGAAGTGCGAAACAAAAAAACAGTAATTTGTAGTAATTCCAGAGAACTACTTTTAATATTTTAATAAAAAAACATGGATCAATTGAAACAAATTTCTTGAATATGATTAGTACAAATCTTTGCTGGTCTATTAATGGACGCCGCAATGAGAATGTCTTTAAGGCCGAGCATTAATAAGAATTAGATGCTACAAATATTTAAACTGCCCATTATGAATTCTAATTTATAAATTTGGCCATACCTTAAAAGGTGAATGTACGTACACTCACAAAACATTGACGTTATATCAATGTGAAGGGAATTTTTTATGTACTTTATATGAGGAAATAAAAGAGTATTAAACACAAAGCATTTTCAAGCATTTTTTAATTTAAATACTTACTATTGAGAAAGGCATAAAAAGTTGAAAGTTAAAAGAATAAATATGTAAAAATGGTTCAGAATAACAAAGTGGCATATGTAAACATGAATAAACATTTCTTAATAATTCATGTTTAAATGAGCCAAATTATAATTCAAAACCATTTTGAACATGGGTGTAAAGTTCTCATGGTGCAAGTTTTCTAGAGCATGGGTGCATTCACAAGAACATGGATGCAAGTTCTCTAGCAAAGTTCGTCTCTTAATAGAAGTGAAGTTGTCACTTCACTTTGAAAGTAGTTTATAGTGACTACATAAAAAAGCAGTTGTAGTTAATTACATTTGTAATAAAGTAGTTATAGTTAAATACAAAAATAATAAAATTTTTTAACCACTATCCATACTGTTTGAACAAATATCTTGCTGAATTTTTGTTATTTACAATGAAAAATTTACTATAGGAAGAAGGTTTAAGGATGCTGATGACATTAAGAAAATGCATCCCGAAAGAGAACTTGAAAAGTTATTTCTTAAACTTCTTACATCTAGGAATAAAGATGCATTTACATCAGCTAGAGGTTACTTCAAAACATATCTGGTTATGTAATTCCTGTATGCTTACATATAGGTAATGTATGTAAGTTATATTAACATGTTCAGAAGTGATTAGATCAATCCAGGAAATTAATAGTTGTACTAACTTCTTTAGATTGAAGATACAATAGTAGAACCTGTCATAATTAACCAAAAGAAAAAGACTTGAGACACATAAACTGATTAGGTAAATTAAGGATTGCATTGTCTTTATATTTTTCTTTTTCTGCAGATTCTATTTAGAAAATTCTAAGTTGACTTATGTATGTAAATTCTAAGTTGACTAAGTACTACTTATGATTTCTCTAAAATTATTGTTTTATTATTTTTTAAGTGGTTATTGTATTTTCTGATCTCTGTTTCAAACTCCGATTCGAATTTAAATTTCACTTAGAATTTTAATGTTACCTATCTCTTAACATAACATTTAAATAATATTAATAGTATCTCATAAGTAAAATCATAGGTAAAATAACTACATTATTTCTCAGGAATTAACAAGAAAATTTATGAAAGAATTGCTATAACTGCAAATTATATTCATAGCTGAAACAAATTGAAGTTTCAGATTTTTTTGACATATAAAAGCCAAAAGGAAATAAGCATACATTTTTCAAATCTGATTTTTATGTAAAAATGTTATTTGGGTAATTAGAAAATTGACCCCAAACATAACATGATGAAAACATGTTTAGAAAACAATTTTATTGCACTAGGCTGAAAAAAATCCCAAAAAAAGATTAAGTTTTTCAGTATGTTACAATCTTTTCTTTAATAAATTTAGCAATTTATAAACAATTTTTCTATTCTAAAATATAACATTTTGTTTTTTGTAATCCCTAAAAACAAAAATCAACATCATATAATTAATGTCATAGTATTTAAGGTTAGAAATGTTTTAAATTTCTGTAGATTGCCCACAATCATCTACTAACGCACTTGTTCCATAGTCAATGATGAGATAAAAATAAAATTATGAATAATTATGGCACTAAAACATTTGTTAAGATCAAAAGTATATCCATTGGAAAAAAATTATCTTTCCAATTTAAATTACAATTTACATTTCCTTATCATACTGTGTCTTATGTCCTTAATAGTAAAAAAGTATTACATACAGAGGTCTCTGCTTATTGCAATAGTTAATATTATCAATTATTTATTGTTAGTATAAGAACTCAGCGGGAATTTAGTAAATTTATTTGTATCCTAAACTCAATGCTTTCTGTGATCATAACATTGTTAAATATTATAGTATTTTTATTATTCTTTCTAAAATCTTTAAATGGACAAAAATGTGGTGATTAGCTGTTAAGGCCACTGGATAATTTTCTTCATGGGTCAGAGGAGAAGTGTCTTATCTGAACAGAGAACATTATATACCTTGTTAGCATAGAGTCGGACGATTTGGGTAATAAATATAGAACTGATTAAGACTAAAAATAAAGATCGATATTTTAAATATTTATAACTGGTAACCGAAAATGTGAAATGCAATTAAAGTGTTGAGTAAAATACCACTCTGATTACTTTAAGAAACACGAGAGACAGATAAATGAGCTTCATAAGAAAATTGTAGATGATCAACAGTTAATTATTTTTTCAATTTTGAATAATATTTATAATTTCAGGGAAATATACATTACGTAAATATCAAGGGAATTTTTTTTTTAATTATTTATTATGTGCGGCTTAATATAGTAAATTTATCTCTAATTTCGTGATTCGTTTATTGTTATCAATCGGTTAATATTATCAACATTGTAATGTCCAAGAGTGAGCACATTAAGCGATGACTACTGTTTCATATTTAAGTTCATGGCAAGTTTATTTTCGAAAATATATTTACCTTTTCTTTGAGAATCTTTCCTTTTCTTTCTTCTTCTAGGTTCTTTATCAGCCATTATAATCTTATACTTACACTGAAAAAGTGTATTTAGTGTTTTTCTAAAATTATAACGCAATTTTATCTTCTTTTGTTTAAGTACACTTCTCTCATTACACTTCGTAAAAAATAGAAATTATAAAAATAAAAAAGATATCAAAAGTTTACTTTGAAAAACAACTTTAACTTCTTCTTTCAACCGGTATTACATCGAATAGAATTATACGGTAACATTGAAAGCGTTCAGATTATTTCAGTTTTGTTTCGTTTATGTGCAAATTTGTATGATAGAAACAGCAATATGAGTTCAAAAAGTTTTTAAAGTGTATTTAATAGAGTTTACGATTTGCCTCTATAGTTATGAAAAATATTTTAATGCTAAGCATTAAAAATTTATTGATTTAAAAAAATATTTTAAATTTTAGTTTGTTAACTGTTAGGTTATGAAATTATGTCGAAACTATTAGCTACTCTTAAACAGTTTCAAATCAAATTATAATACAACTCTAATGGCAGCATCCCATGTGCATTTTGACCAATCAAAAATCTAAACAAACAGAATTAAATCAAAACCCGCTCATTTTTATATTTGATTATGTTGAGAGAATAAGATATTGCGTTATTATTCATTTCAATATAGCTTGTTCTAATATGAATCTTGATTCTTCCAAAAAGCTGAATGAGACATTATATACAGATTCTCATTTTCGTTTACTAAGACGAAAAAATAATCCCACCGAAGCAATAGATGAATTGCGCAACCTTATAAGACAAACTGATATCCACTGTTCGATTCAGAATATCAATAAAGATAGCACTGAGAAGTTGAAGAATCAGTTTATTTCAGAATATACATCTATAATCGATAAACAAGAGCAAGAAGGATTGTTGCCTGTTGTTCCGGATGATGGAAGTTGGGTTCGGTATTTAACGAAAGATAAAAATCCTCAATTAGAAATGCAAAATGCTTTGAAAACTTGTGTTCAGTTCGTTGAAAATAGTTTATTTGCTTATAAGTCAAAAAATTTGAAAGATAACTCACCTGCTTATCACAGTTCTCACACATCAAACAATTTTAAAATGTCTGCTTATCAACCTCAATCTGATAGTTTAAAACTTAAACAAAAACCATTATTTTTTAAAGCAAACTCTATTAATAGTAATGAAACAGACACATCAACTTCGAGTGTGAGGCAAAATACAAACTATGATGCAAAAAAATGGGATTCTAAAAATCAGTTTCACACCAAATACCCAGTTGCGGAAAACAGTTTTAAAAGAAAAGTTAGTGAAAGTAATGATTCTGCGTCCCGTTTCTCCAAAAAACAATTTAACCGTTCAAATAAGAATGAACAAGCTCAAAAAGATTCAATTAAAAATAGCTTTTTACCAGCAAGTTCTTTGTATAAAAATCCTTTGAAAAGAGCATGTGATGATAGAAAGCAAGAAGAATCTATGAGTTCATGTAATGCTGAAGAATCATCAGACATTAAAAATCATCCAACTCTAAAAAATTTTGATGCAAAAATTGTAAGCATAATTTTAAGTGAGATAATGGATTTCAGTCCCGATATAAAATGGACTGACATAGCTGGTTTAGAATTTGTTAAATCTACTGTTCAAGAAATTGTTATTTGGCCTTTGTTAAGGCCAGATATTTTTACAGGCTTAAGAGCTCCCCCAAGAGGTATCCTGCTGTTTGGACCACCCGGCACCGGTAAAACTTTAATTGGGAAATGTATTGCTACAGAATCAAATTCTACCTTTTTTTGTATAAGTGCTTCATCATTAGCTTCCAAATGGGTTGGGGAAAGTGAGCAGCTTGTTCGTGCTCTGTTCGCTGTAGCCCAACTGCACCAACCAGCTGTTATTTTCATTGATGAGATAGATTCATTGTTGTCACAACGAAGTGATCAAGAACAAGATCATACAAGGAAACTTAAGACCGAATTTCTTGTTCAATTTGATGGAGCCAAAACAAACGATGAAAGAAGAATTCTTGTTGTCGGAGCAACCAACCGACCTCACGAGTTAGACGAAGCTGCGAGGCGCAGATTTGTAAAACGGTTGTATGTGCCTCTACCGGAAGTGTCTGCAAGACTTCAGATAATAGAAAAACTCTTAGTTGCTCATCAGCATAATCTTTCGAAAGCTGATTTAGATGAAGTTTGCGATAAAACTAAAGGTTATTCAGGGTCAGATGTTGCTCATTTATGCAAAGAAGCTGCTATGGGTCCTATAAGAAGTATTGGCCCCGAGCAAATTAAAACAGTATCTCTTGATCAAGTGCGACCTATTGAACTAATAGACTTTCTTGATGCGTTGAAACAAGTTAGGGCTAGTGTTGCTCAAGAAGATTTAAATTATTATTTAGATTGGAATAAAAAGTTTGGTAGTTTTGCTATTTAAATACGCAAAAAAGCCATTTAAAATTTTTTAAATTATATAATCTTATTACTAAGCTCAAATTTTAAATATGTGTTAATTTTTTTTTTTTAAGTACGTATCAAAAACTGATTTGTATATTTGTTGAACATCTAAAGAAACTATATGGGCAAAATATATTTTCATGTCAAAAAAAAAAGAATTTAATAAACATTTATATCTGAATAATTTAAAATATTATGATAAATTATTTTGTTCTGAAGCAATTAGGTACCAAAAACTATTTAATTTGTCTTTTAACATATCAAAGTAAATGCTCACACGCAATTTTTAAAAAGCATATATCTGCAGCTTCTATGCATATATATATATTTATGTAATAGAACTTAAAAAGTGATATCTAGCTCATAAAATATTCAAATAAATTCTTAGAAATCAGAAGCTATTAGAACAGTAAAAATGAATATCCTTAAAAATTGTATTTAATAAAGTTTTTTTTTTTTTCAAATTGATATGCAATTACGGTAATTTTTGACGGTCATTAAACGAAACTGATACCCATATTATATTTTTAATGGAACTTGTAAAAAATGAGAATGGCATAAAACGTAATTAAATTGAAGGTCTTTTTACATCAAAATTTAACACTGTGACATTTTGTTTCAATTATAAATTTATATTGGAAGTTTAAGAGCAAGGCTTGCATAATCATCTTTGATAAGTGAATTCCTTTGCTTATTTAGTCAATGTATTTTTGAGTCCCACATACAAGGTGCATAACTAGATTTTTCAACAAAAGATAAGCCCTCAAAAAATATTTTAAGCACTTCTAAAAAAAAATAATGCAGCAATAAATTGTTTTCCCTACTTTGAAGCTCTATCTGCAAAAAAATAACAAATTTCAAAAACTCTTTTCAAATTTTTATATGATCATGTTAACTAAATAACTTGTTTTTAGCAACGAACTCTATTCTTGATTTTATTGGTCACCATAAAAGCATTCTATGCTTTATTTTAAATACTCAATATCCTTTTATTTTAGACGCTCTTTATTTACTTAATGTGGAGTTGCTCATTCAACTCTATAAATTAATTATTAGTTTATACAATTATGTACTTTAACATAAGGAAAATATTTAATAATGTTTAACTGTAATGTTTTTCTGCGATAAAACGTTCAAGGCAAATTCGAAAATGAAGTCTTGAATTGGGAGTATCTTGTAAAATGCTGTCAGAAATTCTTTACCATAAATCTTGCTCTGTGTAAACGCACGTGAGAAATCTGCCAGTAGTGCATCCAACATGTCAACCGATCTATACATTACGGATGTCAGTATGCCAAAACAGATTATAGTTAATTGACACTGTTGGAGAACCATGCTTTTTGTGTAATGTGTAATTCATGGTGATTCTAAAGGGAAAATATAATATTTTTAAAGGATACAATGAAGAAAAGCACCTTTAAGGACTTTTAAAAATCAAAAATACCTTTAAGCACTTTTTATACACACCCTGTAATATGTTTGTATTTGTTTTGCTAAGAATGAATGCAGTTAATGGCATACTTATCATTTCAGTGATATAACAAGTTTTAAATGTTTGAGACACGAATAAAACAAGTTTAAGAAATCTATTGTGAATGACATCAAGCTCTGAATGGATCATACTGTTTGAAGTTTCAATATTAAACTAATATGTAAATAAAATGAGTTTGTGTTAGCTGCATACTATCTCTTGACTGCATTGGAAACTTTGTGAAGATAATATTGGCTAAAATCAGTTTAATCTTTTTTTTTTTTTTAAGTTTCTAAATAACCCTAGTTTTACATGGAAATACAGGTGATGTTAAATGGAAAAACACCAGAATGGTTTCTGGATTACAATCCTGAATTTATTCCCGATCCGAAGAATGCCTATGTTAAACAAATTTTCGCAACTTAAAGAAAACACTCTTGCATTTTTATTAAAATATAGGTAATTGATAAAATTAAAGGTTTACAATCTTTTGAGTGTTAAAATAGAATACCTGCATCAGAAAACTGGCAAAACTTGGTAGTAGGCCAAATGTATAGGGTTTTAAGTCCTGATCACTATAGATTTTTACCAGTTTTGACCACAGAAATTCACTATTCAATTAATTTAATACTAATCAAATATATTTCACTAACCATGTTAAATCTAAAACAAGATTTGTTAAAAATTAAGTAACGATAACAAGTTTTATTGTTATCTTAAAACTTAATTGGTTTCAAATGGATCATTCATAACTTAGAAAGTAATCTTCCTATCAATGAACAGACTCAACACCCCAGTAGATATTATACAAATTCGGCAAATGTTATATCAATGTCTATAATCTTATTCATAGCTGCTCTGCTCATCAGATGTCTTGTGAGCTCATGTTTTATTTCTTTTTAAGAGCAAATTTATATTTTACAATTGCATAATCCAATTTAAAATCTTGAATATTCTTATTGTGTGAGCATATTTTATTAATAAGCTTCCTAAAATTGTCACTATGTTTTTATTAAACTGCACTATTACTTGTTAAGGTATTGTAATAAATAAAGATATTTATTAAAATTAAGATTGCTTTACAGTTTTGAGCAGTTAAAAATTACTTTTTTGTCCTGGTCAAAATTAGTTTTGGCTAGTGGTGAAAATTGCAACCCTGTTTAGATAAGTAAAAGAAAAGATTAGCAGAAACTTTTAACTTGATTGAAAAGGAAATTACTATTTTTCTTAACTGCAAGATTTATGGATCCATTGTACCAGTTTTTTACTATCAGATAAGGTATCTTTTACAGTACAAATAAATTTAAGGACACTAGCCATTGTAAAGCTTTGCCTACTGATTTTATAACATCCTAATTTATTAGTTTCATTAACTAAATTTCCAAGCTAAAAATGTATAAATGAAATCGATTAAACTGGGAGTTTTAAGCTGAAATGTATCGCAGTTAAATTTTAGGATTTAATCTTCCAAGTTTGTAACTAAAAAATTGTTAGAAGATTTTTAACAAAAATCAAATTTAACTTGAAACAAAAAATCCATTGAAATTAATACTTCTATAAAAACATTTTATTAAAAAACACAATATGTTTTTTTTTTATAGAAAAGAACAAAATGGAGTATATATATACAAAAATATAATAAATAATTAATGAAATAAAAATGATTAAACCAACAACCTTTAATAATTTGTAAATAATATAAAATTGCAATGCTATTATTATAAAGTAGCAAAGAGATTTAAAAATAAAATAAAAAAATGAGAATTTTTTTTATAACAGTGAAGCTATTCATAATCAAATGTTTCGACAATAAAATTTTCAAAATATTTTTTAAGTTTTAAACAAAAAATTTATTATCAATAAACACTATTTAAATGTATGCTCCAAAACTAATATTTTAAATTTTATATAATATTTAACGTTAAGGCAAATATTTTAATAGTATAATATTACAAAAACAAATTTATAAAATATATAAAAAATATTTATGTATGTAAAAAAATTGCACATTCTGAAATAAAATTTGTTTTCCAAAACTATATTTAGATCTTTCTAGTTTTGAAAAATAAAGCCTGTATGTAAAAGTTCTTGTTTATCAAATAATGAGAAATTTCGGGTTACAAGACAAATTTTATAGCTTTGATTTCATCACAGGCTGTAGATATTTATAGTATGATTCATGTACCTGAAACAGAAAAAAGGAATATATATATATCATGCCACTATACTGTATTATCATATATTGATCATTTTTCTTCATTACTTAAAAACTCCAAACATATAAAGAATATTGAAAGCAACAATAGAAAGATTACAAATTACAAGGGAAAATATTAAATCTGATATTTACATTAAAAAAATATCTGGACGTAATTTGTTAATACTTTCAACAGTATATGTATTTTAATCTGAATAAAAAAACATATCTTAAGAGTTCTTGATGCATAAATGAATAACGTGTAATTTTAAATTTAATATCTCTTTCCCACCTTGATGTAATGTAGTTTTTTTTAATAATTCAATGTTAATAATGTTTATTAATATCTTGATTAATGTTATTTTTAATTAAGTGTACATTTAAAGACTCTAGCCATTGTAAAGCTTTGCCAACTGATTTTACAACATCCTAATTTATTAATTTCATTAACTGAATTTCTAGCTAAAAATTTATAAATGAAATCTATTAAACTGGGAATTTTAAGCTGAAATGAATGGTATTTAAATTTTTGATTTAAACTTTCAAGTTTGTTACTAAAAATTGTTAAAAGATTTTTTTAAAAAAATCAAATTTAATTTAAAACATAAAAAGTCCATTGAAATTTATACTTCTATAAAAACATTGAAATGTTTATTAATATCTTGATTAATGTTATTTTTAATCAAGTGTGTTTAAATTATTAATCAGTGGGATATATGGCATATACCAAGTGGGGCTAATTTTATAGGTGTAGAATTGAAAAAGGACACAAAAGTGATTTGAAGTGTGCATTAAAATAAATAAATGAAAGTTATCTTTTTTAATTTTGCCCAATGTATGATTTCTTATTTTTTTAGAAGTTTTTTAACGGAAATATTTGTTGAGAAATGGGCAAATTTAATAATTTATTTCTAATGCCTGACTCCGAATTATTACGTTCTTCACTACAGAAAATGGCGTAAGTGTTGCCAATTTCACCTTACTCGGTGGGCTCTTATGAACCTGAGTCAAGCTGCATTATCCATGCCACAGTCACAGATACCTGTTCATATTGGTGCCCACATTCGATGAAGGACAAACACACAGACATCCATGTCACAGATACCTGTTCATATTGGTACCCACATTCAATAGAGGACAAACACACTGAGAGAGACATCCACGCCACAGTCACAGATACCTGTTCATATTGGTGCCCACATTCAATGGAGGACAAACACACAGAGAGAGACATCCATGCCACATCTTTTTTTTTTGTAAACTTAAAGTATTTAAGCTTATGAATTGTGTCAGTATATGTATTTCAGTTGTATGCATGATTTTGTGATGTTAAATACAGGGTTGGGTTTTTGACGTCAAAAAGTGGTTTTTGACATGACAAGGGTATAATACTGGTTTAAACCGTCAAAAACCCGTCAAAAATGTCAAAAACTGAAGTTTGCCAAGAAAATATATAAACTTCAAAACTACCAACAGTTGCCATGCATTATATTGAAATTTAATTATACTATAGGTAATCAGCAGGTTTTAAAATATTTTTTAATTAAAATTAAGGTAAAATAACAGATTTAAAATCTCAGAAATTTATATTCAAATGCATGTGCAGAAAAATTTTGCACAAAAATTGTTTAAATATTTA